TGCTGCCGAGACCCCCTGCCGCCCGCGCCCTCGGACACCACGGTGGACTCCAGCTGGCACGCTCTGGCATTTGGACGCGGGGTTACCTCGGGCCAACAGATGCCAGTGGAATTTCCAAAAGAAAGCCAAATCCGGGCCCCCTGACCCAGCCAGCATCCGGGGCTCGTGTCCCTGCGGCCAGGTCCCACCTGACGGCTGTGCCAGCAGCCCCTGGCCACCAGAGTGGAACACCCAGAACCTGCAGCTGGACAGACTTTGGACAGGGCGTGGATCCGGACTCTGAGAGCTGCTTGGCACGCAGCCTGCGGAAGCCGTTCAGCCTCCCCGCACCCCCGTGTGGAGCAGACCGTGGGAGGGTGCAGGAAGTGCAATGTCGGCCACGGGTCCGCTCAGTAAATATTTACCGAGGGCCCAACATGTGGCCGGCTGTGCCCCGAACGCTGGGGCCTCCCTGCCGGACAAAAGCGGCGGGTGCTTTAAAGAGGGAGGAGATGCTGACAAGGGAAACGATGTGGAGACGGGGTGCGGAGAGGGCCGGCGGGAGGTGGACATGACGGTGACGGTGGAGCCGGGGTGGGGCCCGCGGTGGTGGCGGTGAGATGACAGCGGCGGTGGGGGGAGGAGGAGGAGGAGGAGGAAGTCCGAGCTGAGGCTCCTCAGGCCCCGGATCCCCCAGGAAGACGCGTCTCTCGCTCCCGGCCCCCCGGGGTCTGGCACAGCCTCCTCGCGGCGGCAGTGTGCGGCGACCACCCTCGTCTTCAGGCTGCTTTGAACCAAGAGGGCCTCCCGGAGGGCGCACGGGCGCTGGCAGCCCGCTCTGCAGGCATGAGTTTTCTCTCTGAAAACCACTTGAGCCTGTTCTTGCAGCCCAGTGCCTGCGCGTTTGTCTCACTTAGAGACACTTAAAACTTTTCCCCAAAAGTGAATGAAACGATGCCCCAACGAGGCAGCCCGCTTTATCCCTGCGGCTCTCGAGACCCCGGCCACACACCCAGCCCCTCCGGCCCCCCACATTCACACGGCGGGGTGAGGGCCGGAGCCCAGCCCAGCTGCCCAGGCCCTGGAGCCAACACCTGCCCCGCGTGTCGGGCCTCCCTGCCTGCAGCTCCGTGTCATCTCCCCGCTTCTAAGGTGAGTCCGTGAGCCCCGTCTCAGGCGCCGGCAGGCCGCCACCCCACAGCCATCCTCAAAGCATGGGCGCGGAAGCAGCTCACGCAGACTTGGTGACAACACGTGTTCGGAAGAGAACTTTCTTGAGCAGGTGAAAAGCCTTCTCACCTGTTCCAGGAAGGATCTTCTCCCGCGGGAGGAGCTGAGTGGGACGGAGGAGAATGAAGGGCCAGGCGGCCCATCTCGCCCTCCCGTGCATGTCAGGATGGTGGCCCGGCCACATAGAGCTGAGCTCCTCAAACCAGAGGCTTTTGCCTCAGAGGCATGTGGTGCCAATGAGCCTGCAAAGCCAGTACACTTTCTGGGGAGACGTTACTTGTAATTTGTGAAAATAAGTGTTTCTCTATTAAAACCTACAGCACTGACGTGGAGTCAAATACAATCGCCGTGGAGTTTCTTTTTTTAAAAAAAAGAGCTGGGGTACAGGCCAGATGCACGGGAGGGTGAGATGATTCACCAGAGACAGCGGGGAGCAGAACAGGCAGACTGATGAAATGCACTGCTGAGGGGAGCAGTGGGGAGACAGGAGAGGTCTGCCGCGCCATGTGGGCATCTCCCCGGCCGGCCAGGATCGAACCTGCACTGCAGAGGCTGGGGACAGCTTCATAGCGCTGCGCTCAACCACCTGAGCCACTGGGGAGGCCCAAATCGCCATGGATTTTCAAGATCAAACACAAGTGCGTGTCACATGCATGGTAGGACAGTAAATCTGTTACCCCCAAAACCGACTGGCACAAGCTGAAGTACAGGAGTTTAACAAGAGCAAGTTTGAGAAGAAAATATTTAGTAGCGTGGGGGCCTTGGCGCCACCTGGTGGGCCCATGGGACATGACCGCCAGCCCCACCTGCCTCTGCGGGAGATTCAACATGTGCAGGTGGGCGCCGGGCAGGGGGAGGAAGTTCCCTTAGCAACAGCAATCTCACATGGACAGACCCTCCTAGGCCTCCCTGCCAGCCTGATTCAGCAGCTGGGATCCCCCTCGCTCTCAGGCTCCTTGGCCAGGGGCTACCGTTGCCACCCCAACCGCTGGTTCCCTCCCATGAAGATGCTCACTCAGGATGGCCTGTTTCCAACCAGCTTCCCAGGCAACTGAGGATGAACGCAGTGGGCCTGGGCTTGCGTTTAAATCACTGGGAGGAGATTTATTTTAAGCCCTACAGATGCTTCTGAGGTAAGGCCCGTGCCTCGACACATTTAAATAGTTGCCCGCTGCCGGGCTGAGCAACCCCGAATGAAGGCCTGTCCTCACCAGAATCCCCTGACACAGTAGCCGTCCTTGGGAGGGGCACCTGCTCCGGACGCGGCTCCTCAGGCTGAGACCGGCCCTTCTGGTCAGCCCAGGACCCAGATGCCCCGGGTGAGGTGTCCTGCAAGGACACGTCCTGTGCTTGCTGGGTTGTGTCCTGCTCCTGTTGGGACCTGGGCGGGACAGGCTTGCCCAGCATACACGTATTCTGCAGTCGGCACTTCTCTCAGCCAAGGCGGCCAGCAGAACTATTCAGCTAAATGACAGTACTAGGCGCCCAGGACCCTAGCGCTAGGACTGAGAGGTGCCAGAAAGCCCAGGTGAGGTGGGCACCCTGCTCCTCAGACGCACGCTGGACCCACAGGGTCTGGGCCACACGAGAGCAGCAGCTCCGCAGCCATCAGCTTCAGGATGGGGTCCATGACCCCCAGGATGAGAACCCTACTTCCACCCTGATCCACATGCCCCAGGGGTCACTGGGCGGAGTCTGACAGTCACACCGCTGTGTCACGGAGGGAATGACGAGGTGCTACCTGGAGGCCAGCCAGGAAGGGGTGGCCCGGAGGTCCCGGTCAGTTGGAGGGCAGTAGGCATGAGTTTGAGTGGGGGTGAACTTTGATTAGGCTCAGAGGGAGGGAGGACCATTGCAGGGAAAAAAGCCAACAGATGAGGAAATCATTTGAAAAGACCCCGGAGGCTGAGTCACTTCCCGGGTTTGGACATGTTTGTTCAATAAACTGTCACTGAACATCCAGCGCCAGGTGCTGCGCCAGGTGCTCTCACAGCAAGAGCCAGACTGTGGGCAGAGCCGGCGGCTGGCCAGGCCGCTGCGTGACGTGGACAAAACCCCTATCCTTTCATCTATCCAACGGGGAACATAACCTCACAGCCAGAGTGAGGAGGCGAACGCACCCGGGACAGCCAGCCAGGGCTAGCACCCAGGCAGCCGATGCGTGGCGGGACACCCGACAGACCACCTGCAGAACGAGGCCCTCGCCCGCTGACTGGGTGCAGCAGAGCCGGGAGCTAATGGCCCCCACACAGGATTTCAACCCCGTGAACGGTGCATTTCCTTTTGGGGGTGTGCACCAGTTTAGCTCCCTGGTGGCGAGTGATCAGCCCGCAGAGCCGCCCCTGCAGCTGGGGACAGGGGACGTGCCACAGGGAAACTGCAGAGCCATGCTGCCAGCGCCCAGTCTGTGGCCCAAGGAGCTGAAAAGGTGGGCCCCTCCGCCCGCCCCAGGCGGGAGGGAGCCCGCTGCTATGCCCTGAGGGCTGAGCCTGCCACCTCCACAAACAGCCTAGTGTCAGCCTGCCCTCTGCTGTCCAGAACGGGGAGTGCAGTGGCCGCTCCAGGACGCAGGTCCCGTAGCCGAGGACCCTTCACAAGGCACCCAAGCCGCGCTCCGGGGGGGAAAAGGACAAACCAAGATGCCTCCCAGGCCCACCCTCCTGGAACCTGAGGGCTCTGAGCTGCACAGGGCTTGGCAGAAACCCCTCGACGACCCTGGCGCGCAGTCAAGGCCCCCAGAGCCAGGACTCATCGGGAACATGCTGGGGCCGCTCCTCCATCTGGGGACAACTGCAACGGACAGGAAGTGGGTGAGCACGCCAGACAACACCCGGGGAGTACGGGCACGGGCACGCAGGAAGAGACCGGAAGTACGCAGGAAGAGCACGCAGAGTGGAAGCAGAGGCGGCTGAGAGGAAACAAGCAGCAGAGGAAGCAGGTAGGAAACCAAAAGGACGCAGACAGGGAACAGGGAGCCAACAGGAAGCGCGCCTTTCTCCTCCAGTCTTTGGGCTTCCCGAGGGTCCCCAGCAGCAGAGGCTAAGCCAGGCAGCCAAGCCGAAAGAGTCTGCAGCAACCAGCAGCCGAGCCCGGAGAGGGGCTGAAGCGGAGGTAGGCCGCCTCGCGGTCACGGTCCATCTCGCAGGCCTGGACGACCCTGCCCGCTCCGCTCCTCGGCTGCGAGCTTCCACAGCACGACGCTGCACCCCCCCCCCACCAAGATGGAAACATCACACCAAGGAAGAGGTCCCCACAGTCATATAGACAGCCTGCACCCCTCAAACTCAGCCACGGGACCACTGAGTGTTGTCACCTATGGGCTAGACTGTCAAGCTAACCTCCAGCCAAGGAAGGCCTGGCCTAGGTGTGTGTCTCGTACATGTCTCACCGACAGTCAGACACAGGTCAGAAGAGCCAGGTGATGGGCCCAAGTGACCCTGGGCCAGGTCAGGAACCTCCACTCCACCAAGGAGTCCACCTGGGAAGGAGCTAGAAATGGCATCACCTGGTGGGAGGTACGCTGGCAGCTGCAGCCAGGACCACGCAGGAACTCACAGCCAGGCAAGCTAGTGCCGGCATCGGCCACCCTGTTCTCGAGTTAAAAAGGCTGAGGAGCAGAGCAGGCCCCAAGCTGACCTTGAGACCCACACCTGGCACTGAAACCTCAGCAGAAGTCAGAGCTCTGCCAACCCACTCCAAGCAGTGCTGACCACCTCAAGGGGTAGGCCAGACCCAGAAGACCTGAGGGCACCTGGGAGAAACCTACTGTTTCAAACAGACGTTTCTTTGAGCTAGCAAAAGAGGAGGCCACACGGATGTCACATAAACTGTTTCTTTATTAGCATGGGTGCTGTGACACACGGCTCCCGGTGACAGGCCGAGCTGCACGGGGCAGGAGAGGCTGGGGTTCAGAGGCAGAGCAGAGATCTTATTTCTTCCACTCGTTCTTGTCGTAGTCCCACTTGGCAGAGAAGCCCTGGACTGGGCTAACCTTCATGTCCAGCATCCGCTTGGTCTGCATGGCCACCCAGTCCTGGTCGAAGGTGTGCGGGACAGGGCCGTACACTGCGGAGCAAAACAATGCCGCGAGGCGGCCCTGGGCTGAGAAGTCGTTTCTGGCCCAGTGCAGTGCAGCAGGCCCGCCGTCACCTGCTACCCGCCAGCCCCACACCGACCCACTGATCCCGGATGCTGGGCACCAACAACTCTCGCTATCTCCAAACTAGTCCTTCACTTGTAAAAGCGAGCAAAAGCCCAAGCCAAAAGCAAAGTCTCTGCACCAGCAAAGTCTCTTCAGGCTGGCGCAGAGCCCAGGCAAGGGCCAAAGGACTGTTCCTGCCCACGTCCACGCGAGCACAGGACGTCACCTACTCAGGGATCGTGCCCACTGTGCCTGGACAGGAGAACCAGAAAGACAGCTGGAATGAGCGGGCAGCCCAGCACGAATGCAGAAACGTTCGGTCTGGAGACCCAGAACTGCATGGAGATGCAGCCCCCACACGGCGGCGACGGCCCAGGCGAGGCAGAGCCGTCAAGCCTGCTGAGAGCCGAGAGGCAAAGCGCGTGGAGATGTGGGGCCAAACAAGAGTACGGAAGCCCCGCAAGCCAGCGCGGCCCACAGGGACTAGGCCAGACTCTACTGTAAGGCTCTGGGTTAGCACGAGCCAGCTCCCCAGGCCTTGCCAGCAAGGCAGGCCCCACCCCCGCTGCGCCGGAGCTGTCTGTGTGCTAAGGGCGTTTCCCCCAGCCCCCGCTGGGACCGCTCCGCCCATCTCCCCTCCACTCACCATAGCGCTTCTCCCAGATCAGGATGAGGGCAGTGAAGCCAAGGAAGAACATGGCAGCACCCACGACCGTCTTCCACTCATTGGTGCCCCTGTTCATCTCAGCAAAGCTCTCATTGAACTTAATGCGATACACTGGGGACAAAAGGAAGGGCCGCTTGCAGGCACGAACCGTCTGCGGCACTCGACCATTCCCACCACAACCACAGCCAGGAGCCAAGGGGCTCGGCCAAAGCCAGGCCTGGCGCATGTGCGCGGGCACCAACCGAGGGGCAGAGAGGGAAGAAGGCTCCCGGCACTCGCCTTGGGTGGGAGAAAACAGCGAGCTGCTTCCTCCTTGACAGCCCAAGGTCTCTTTAACAAGGACTTCCGGCCCCGCTTTCCTACCCAGTAGTGTCCCGCCGACCCGTCCGTACAGGCCCCTGCCCCGCAGCAGAGGAAGCAGGCGGCACCCACATGTTCCTCGCAGGGTGGGCTGGGGTCCCCTAAACTCACAGGGGCCCACACAGAGGCCCAGCCAGCAGGGGGAGCACAGAAACACAACACCCCAACCTCCCTGGGTGCCAGCCTTAGACAGAGCCTGAGCTCAGCGCCCCGGACCAGCAGGAATTCTCCCGCTCCCCAGGGATGCTGAGGGGCCCGGACTTGCCCGCAATACCCACATTCCACCTTCTCATCGAGGGACAGGGAGCTCCAGGCGGCCTTCTCCTTCTCCTTCAAGGCCTTCTGGCTGGCGGACAGGTTCTTGACGTGGGCCACGTCAGGCAGGGGGTAGTCACGCCGATCCACGTAAGTGGGGAGCGCATAGTCCTCACTCTTCACAACACTCCCTAAGACACAGGGGACAGGCGTTTGAAAGTCACAAAGATCCAGAGGTGCAAACAAGGCAGTGCTTCTAGAAACCAAAATGAACACATGCGCAAACCCCAAAAACTTGTCACTCCAGGGGGCCAACGCCACTGCTGCGGACCGCAGAACAGGCGCACCCCAAGGGCTGTGGCAAGGACGGAGGCAGACGCTCAACAGCAGCACTCCTTGGAGCAAAAATGAAGCCCTGGCAGGAGCCAGCAGGCAGCTTCCTGCAGAGAGTACACGGGCTCAGGGCCATGCCCGGGCTGGAGGCGAGACTAAATGAAGGTCCTTCAGCAAGTGACTCAGAGTAATGAAGAAGGACAACTTAAAACCTAGAGAAACAAGTTCAAAGTCCAGAAACACAGACGTGTGAAAACATGGCCCCTGCAGCTACTTCTTCCAGCCAAGAAAGCGGAGCAGGAACCGGTGTCACTGTGGCCGTCACCATGGCCCACGCGCCAGCCCTGAGGAAGGCATGGCGTGGGGCCACGCCCTCCCCTGCTCCCCACTGTTTGCCAGCACCTCCTCCGTGCCGAGCACGGCTGGACACAATCGGAATCACGGGGAGCAGAGGCCTGACTGCTGGCACTTACACTCTAGAGGTGGGACACAATAAACAGATGTGCAAACCCCAGAGCCCGTCAGGAGACAGCGCACTGACACGGGGAAACACAGAGGCGGGGCCGGGGGCGGCTCCGACAGCGAAGGGGCAGGCGTGTGCACGACGAGTCCAGGGCAGCGCCGAGTAATTCCGGCTTACAATTTCATGTCAATAGTCTTGACATCTGCACATGCACGTACACTGGCATACGTGACACTAAACACAAAACTCCTGGCGAAATGAACCCAAGTTATCAGCAGAAAGAAATGAAACTAGGGTTTCTGGTCAGAGGAGAAATGGAGGCCTGAAAACGAGCGCGCCCGCACATCACTCCAGCAAACAGGGGAGAAGCGCAGACACGAAGCAAGGAACGAGTATCTTAATCTTCAGCTAAGGTTTCCCGCTGTTTACAGCTGTCTTCTTCAGTCTATCCAACACGTGCAAGAATGCTTTACGCTCCAAAGCCGTCTGGAGCTCTGAAGTCCCACATAAACGTTTCGCCTTCGTTAGCTTCATCCCAGTGATCGGAACCTCTCGACTCATAGGAACAACAGGGGCGTAAAGACAAAAGCTTAAGCAAAGTGGCGGTTCCTTACATGACTGTGCCAGGCAAAGGTCTAGCAAGCTTATCAATGGACAGTCTGCCTTATCCCCAAAGGACTGAGAGAATGACTAAAACTGTTTCCCAATTTTGAAATTTGAAGATTCTATTAAAGGATGAATGTACTACAAAGAATGATTGTACTGAAAATTCTTACCAGAGCAGCCTTAAAAAAAAAAAAAAAGCCTTCCAACGATGTGAAACTGAGTTCACAAGAATTATGTAAACTAGAGTAAAATGGGTGATAAAAATGCTATAAACTTGACTGTGGCAATGCTGGCACAGCTCTGGGAATAGACTAAAACCACCTGGGCTGAGTGTGTGATGAGAATGCTGTCTCAATAAAGTCGTTCCAAAGATGTCAGTGCTTACAAGTTGGCCCACTCTAAGGACAGACTGGCAAATTCTAGAACAACAACAGGCAATTTGTGATCAGGGCTGCCAGGGTTCTTCAGCACTTGGGACTTGGTGCCCCAGCAAATGGGGGAATAAAGATTAAGAAAGCAAACATTGCTTTTTTTTTTTTTTTTAAAAGGGAAGGGGTTTGGGGGGGCCACTGGGGAGGGGGAGGCATTAAAGTCAGGTATGATGGAGAGGACCTCTCGAAAGGGTGAAAATCAAACCTGAAAAAATGGGCAGCAAACAGGAAAGGGAGGAAATATCAGCATAAGCAAAGGTCCCGACCCATATTCACATATTCAAGTCTTTAATCACCCATATTCACATATACACCCCCTCAAGTATTTTTATCTCCGGATAGTGTCTGAAACTCCAGCACAGAGCGGGAAAGCCTGCTGAGAAACAAGGACAGCTTCACTTACCGTGTGCGCGGGCACACACCGAGGTGGAGATGGCTCGCTTGCCAATCAGGCTCAGTACTCTGGTGGCCAACATTCTGAAAGACACAACGGGACGCCTTCTCTGTGAACCAGAGCAAACGCCAAGCAGCAACGACTCTTCTTTCAACCCACTGCATTCAGGAAGGCAGCGCCATTCTCTTGTTCTCTGTTCCCCAACATAAATGATCCCCTCTTCAGGATGGACTCTGAATTCGCAAAATCTAGGACAAGGTTTTTCTTAGCAGAGCGTTTTTGTGGACCCTTCATTATAAACCAAGAGGGGTGAGATATGCAGGTGTCCAGCAATTAGAAACCCTGTCGTCTTTAAAAATGGGGGTGGCAAAGGACACAGACACATCAATTCCAAAGAGCACCTGCACCCCTATGTTTATAGCAGCACTGTTTACAATAGCTAAGCTTTGGAAACAACCCAAATGCCCAAAAATAGATGACTGGATCAAGAAGATGTGGTCCATATACACCATGGAATATTACTCAGCATTCAAAAAAGATAAACACATGCAGTTTGCAGCAACATGGATGGCGCTGGAAGGGATCATGCTCAGCGAAATAAGCCAGAAAGAAAAAGAAAAATACCGGATGGTCTCACTCATAGCAGGAATCTAGAAAACTTAAATAAGGGACCAGGAAAATGAATAACTATAAGAAAGAAAATATCAAAATCAACTAAAAACTATGAACCAGAGACACTTGTTGGGGGGGGCGGGAGGGGAGGGATTGGGGTCAGAATGGGGGGTTGAAATTGTATGGGGAATATAAAAATAAAATTTATTATTTAAAAAAAATCAAAAAATACAAATGGGGGTGGGGGGATGAATCAGGAGACCGCAGCAAAGCTGTCTGCGGCGCCATGGGCTCTCCGTGGGCGGGGACGGGTGGAGGAAGGAAACAGCCCGCAGGGCTGGCCAGGCACCGCCTTCGACCTGGTATTTGTTCGAAAACCTAACGTGTGCAGGGGCGGGAAGAGAAGCCAAGGCAGGAGGGCGGCACCCTCGGCTGGTCCTCCTGAAACCCCAGGACGAGGGATGACCTAGAGGACCCGCCCGGATTTGGGCCCGCGGCGCGGCCCACGCCCCTGTGAAAAGCGGGCCTGCGGGGCTACTGTGGGCAAGACGGTTCCGAGGCCCCGGGAGAGCACCCCCTGCACCCCGTCAGGGCAGAAGCAACCGCAGCCCCGCCAGGGCCGGCCGCGCCGCCTCCCCGCCCCCGCGGCCCGGCCGGGCGTGGGGCGTGGGGCGCGGGTGGGGCTCCCCGAGCCCGTTAGGCCCCGCGGGGAGGGCCCGGGGCGGGGGCCGGGCGGCCCGCAGGGCGAGCTGCGCCTCGGGCCCGCGCCGTCCGTCAGCGGGCGCGCCAAGGTCAGAGGCCCCGCCGGGCCCGGAGCGCCGCGCCGCGCGGGGCGGGCCGGCCGCGCCTCACTCTCCCGGGGCGCCCCCGGCCCGGCGCCCCCGGCCCCGCCTCAATGTCACCGGGCCCCAGGCCCCGGCTGCGCCCGGCCGCGCCGGCGCCGGCCCCGAGCTCGCAGCCCGAGCGGCGGCCTCGGCCCCCGCCGCCCCCGGCCCGGCGGCGCGACCCGCCGCCCGCCTCGCCCGCCGCCCCCGCCGCCGCCCCGCCGCCCCCGCCGCCGCCCGCCTCACCTGCCGCGCCCGCCGCGACCGCCCTCTACGCCCCGGCTGCCGCGACCGGAAGAGAGCGAGGCCGCGCGCGCAGCCCCACGGGATCGAGGAGGACTCCGCCCCGCGCCCGGCCGCGCGGAGGTCACCGGGCGGAAGCCGGGCGCGTCGCGCACGTCGTAAAAGGCCGCGCCGCGCTGCTTTCCGGCGGGCGCCGCGGGAGCGCCTTCCGGCGGCCCCGGCGGCGCCCGGAGGCCGCGCGACGTGGGCTCGAGGCGGGCGCGTCGGTCTCTCTGCCGGGGGCGCCGCCGAGCCCCGAGCGCGCCAGCCCCGCGGGGGTCTCCGCCGGCCGCGCCGGGCAGCCGCCGCCGCGCCCCCCTCGCCCGCCGCGGCGCCGCGCGGCCGGGCAGCGCACCCAGGCCGAGCCGGCCTGCCGGGGCCCCCGGCCCGCCCGGGCGCAGCATGCCCGGCGTGAAGCTGACCACCCAGGCCTACTGCAAGATGGTGCTGCACGGCGCCAAGTACCCGCACTGCGCCGTCAACGGGCTGCTGGTGGCCGAGAGGCAGAAGCCGCGCAAGGAGCACCTGCCCCTGGGCGGCCCGGGCGCGCACCCCACGCTCTTCGTGGACTGCATCCCGCTCTTCCACGGCACGCTGGCCCTCGCGCCCATGCTGGAGGTGGCGCTCACCCTGGTAAGGGGCCCCGGGGGGGGGCTGCAGGGGGCGCCGGCCGTCGCGTCCCGAGAGGCGCTTTGGGCGGCGAGTGACCGTCAGTGCAGCCGAAACGGGGCCCTTAGAAACCAGCCGTGGCGGCGGCGTCACGGCTCGACGGCGCTTCTCGGGGGGCCGGCGGGCGCCCCTTCGCAGAGTCCGCCCCACCCGCGCGGCGTCGGCGCTTCGGGGCCGTGGCTGGGGGTGCCTGGGAACCCCGGGATGGAAACGGGCCTAGAAAGAGCCTTGACGCCGCTGGCCCGGGCGCGCGGGGCTGCTCCCGGGGTCCTGTCTGCAGCGCCCTGGCCGTTGAAGCTGGAGATTCCTGTGAGGCTAGAGAAGGCGGTGTCTGTTTACGGTACAAGAGAAGTAAATGGGCGTCTAAGTGGTAAAGTACTTAGTGGGAGTGAAAAGTTGTCACGTAGTAGAAAGTGGATAAAGAAAAGCAGGACCGTACCGGGTTGGGCAGAGGAGAGACCATCCAGCGCTCGGGTGAAGTGCCTGTGACGGGGCTGTCAGCAGGTGTGGCGTTCGGCAGGCAGGCAGAGGGCAAACGGCCGCCTGTACGTTCAGCCGTTCAGCCGAGGTGTTAGAACCTTAGGGAGCCTTAAACTGCCGTCTCAGGCCTGCCCCCTACCTGAGCCGAGGTTAGTTTTCACGTTAAGTATAAACTACACCATGAATAAATATTAGCTGATTCACAAAAAAGTAGTTACGTTTCTCGAAGTGTGGGGAGAAAGTCCTCTGTGCCTCCCACCAACTAGAATCCATTTTCTCATTTATCTGTCCTGACAACATGAAAATTCATGGTGAGGGGCCTCCCTGTTGGCACATGGGTTCATCCCCGCACTGTGAAGCTGTCCACAGCCACTGCAGCCCGAGTTCGATCCCCGGCCGGGGAGCCGACCCACAGGGCGCAGCAGACCTCTCCTGTCTCCCCGCTGCTCCCCTCAGCAGTGGATTTCAGTAGCTCTGCCTGTTCTGCTCCCCACTCTGTCTCTGGGGAGTCCTCTCACCCCCTGCACCTCTGGCCTACACCCCAGCTCTTGTATGCATAAATACATCTTTTTTTAAATAAATAAAAAGAAAAATTCATAGCAAGCAGGCAGTACCTGAGGGCAGACTGTCCGGCCAATGGGCATATCGGGAGTGGCAGCTAAATTGAGTCATTGTGTGAATGTCTCTGTATCACTGAGCAGGAAATAGGTAAGAAGTCTATGGCATTTATATAATCAGCCATTTTAGCTCCTGAAGAAACGTGCTGTTGGTATCCCTGCACCACCAGTGTGCGTGTGTTTCAGTGCAAGGCTTTTCAGCTGTCTTAATTAATACCGAGGGAATTGCAGGATGATTGGATTTGTAGAGTGTGTTACCTGGCAGGGAATTATTTACCCTTAGCTGCAGGATTATTCAGTTCTCCACTACTGCCAGGCCTGGGCTGCGGGAGGGCACAGCTGCATCAAATACAGCACCTGCTTCGCAGCTGAACTCACACAGGCAGACAAGGACAGTGCCAAAGAGTAAGTGCCATGTTCTAAGCAGGAAGTGGTGAAGAGTCAGAAAAATCAGCCAACCCAGGCTTCAGAGTCAGAGAAGGCGAGCTGCCCAGAGAAGGGGGCATGCACGCGGGCCCAGCGTGCCAGCGGTGGCAGCCCAGGGGCTGGGGCAGAGCACCCAAGGCAGAGGCAGCAGCATGTGCAGGGCCCGGGAGAAAGCCGGAGTATGGATCTGAGGGAGCTTAAGGAGGCTGGGCAGAGAGCTGAACCGTGGACAGATTTCACACAGAGCAGTTTCAGGACCGCCGTAGGACAGAGGGAAGCCTGAGAGGGCTTCACAGGGAGGTGTGTGTCTTGGCGCCACCGCTGTAGCCCGCGGCAAGGAGGAGGCCGGCGGCGGGGCACGCCAGACTAGAGGCTGAGGTGATGGCGACAGTGCAGCGGGGGTGCAGGAGAGAACAGTGCGGGGAGGGACAGTCTGCAGGACAGCCTGAGTCAGATGTGGTCACGGGACAAGGAAGCAAGGTGTCGCCTCCACGTGCAACTTAGGCCGGGGAGGGCGGGGGTGTCATTCATTGTGGGACGGTGAAGAGGCCCTGTTAGGAGCTGAGAAGTGGGGCCAGCGCTCAGAAGACTGTGGGACGAACATGTGTATCGGGAGCCAGTAGTTCTCAGTCACTCCAGCCAGGAGCACAGTCACTTCAGGGGCGGACATGGAATGAGGGGTACAGCAGACCCCCCCCCACCCCGGACGCCCGTCTTCTAGGCAGTGGGCGAAACAAGTTGGCAGACCAACCCGGAAGGGCCGGAGAGAGTATGTTCCTTTCAACCCTTGACGTCCTATCAAATGTACCTGCACGTGCCTAAAAGAGCCTCCCTGGGAATTGTCAGACTATTACTAATTCTTCTCATTTTTAAGTAACGTCGACATGAGAGTTGAGGGTTGTAGTCTCGTCTGAGTTGTGGATGCACTGCTTGAGGGAATCAGTGCTGACTGCGAGCAGCCTGAGTCACCTCTGTATGACTCTCCCCCAAGAAACAGGGCTGCTGCCCAGCCCCCCGGGGAGGGAAGAGGCTTCCTGACTCTGAAGAGCCTAGAGAGCCCACTGCCGCCAACTCCTGAAGAGGTGGAAGGCCTCAGGCCTGCTGGTCTTGCTCCCCGTTCCTTAACACTCACCCGCAGGCCCCTCTCAACCGGCTGCACTCCCCGCAGCACACCCCTGTCCTCTCCGAACGCCCCGCTGGCCTGCGAGCGCTTCTTCTCGCACCAGAGCGGCCAGCGTTCTGCTGGACCGGGCCGGGCGGAGTGCTCTGTGCTGGCTGTCCCCACAGTGACCAGCCTTGGCGCCCGCGCCTCCGCGCCTGGCGGGTGGGAAAGGGATGCGGTGGGCTGCCCACTGACTGACTTTCAGAGAACGCTTACGAAGGAAAGTGTGCAAACTGAGTCTCCCCCAGTTTTTTTCTTATAATCGCTGTTTACATTACTCCGTTACCAACTTGACACCTTTAAACCTGAAGACTGAAAATCTCAGTGTGGGGGGGCCCTATTTTATGAGTATATGGAGGGTGTGATTTTAATCAAACATCTAAAACCATAAAGCGATAGATAGCAAAGCCTTGTTCACGTGGCTCTTTTCTCTCCAGGGAGTCATTTTGTAACCATTGATGAAGAGTGGGAGGCGGACTCGATGAGGCGGACTCCATGAGGCGGACTCGATAAGCCGTCCATCAGGCCGCGGCAGGCCCTTGTGAAAAGCTTTTCCTTATAATTTTCCATTTTTAAAAATATCCTTGCATTTCTGGGTGCTTTTTGTTTTTATTTTAAGTGCTTGTGCCTGTTGTCTCACTCACCCTTTGATGTGGGCGGTGACGGAATTATTCCTAATGGCGGAACCCTCCTGCCCGACCTGCTGCTGCTCTAAGCCCTTTCGTTCTTTCCCCTCGCCCTGGTCTCTTGCCTTCTGCTGGGACGGCTTCCGTCCCCGGTGCCTAGTATGAAAGATGCTCTGGAATTCTTTCCGCTGCCTCTCGTGGTGCCTTGTCTGCTCATCTGCACTGGCTGCTGTGCCCCAGGCCCTGCCTAGGCCTGCTTCCTCCTCCCCATTGTGTGTCTCCAGACTCTCCGTGGAGCCTGGGGGTGGAGCCAGTCTGGGTCCCCCGTCAGGTCTTGCCCCCAGCCCCCTTCATCCCGTCTTGCTACCTCCAGAGCTCACCTTTCATGGATCCAGTTCCTTTTCATCCTGTACATGAAGCTGCTGACTTAAGAAGGACTTTCTTCTCAGTGAAAATAATACCCCAAGGCCCACTCGTTGCCTCAGGTGGGGAGGCTCAGGCACAGCCCCTCCCCCAGCCCGTTGGGAGCACCGGTGTGGGAGGTGGGCCCTCCTCAGGGGACTCTCCTGTCAGGCCCCGCCTTGCCTGCAGCCTGGTTATGGTGGGTCACCCGAGGGCGGCGGGGGCAGTGCCGTGAAAATGATGACGGGCCTTGTGCATGCAAGCGTCAGCAGGTTTGCTGAGAGAAGCTGCTTTGTGCAGAGCCTCGCTGGGAGCAAATGGGCTGACCCCTGCACCGCCTTCAGTGCGAGTCTCCGCAGCCGAGGAGCCCGGAGCAGCGTTGAACAGAGGACGGCGGAAGCGTCCGCCTTTCCGGAGGGAAGGGCAGAGGGACGGCCTGAGAAAATGCAGAATTTGGACGCCGTGGTCCTCACTAGCCTTTGCCTTCAGGGGTCCGCGGGTGTTCCCACGCGCGGGCCGGGCGGGCGTCCCGGCGGCAGGCAAGGGGAGCCGAGCGGCCCCGTGCGAGGACACGCAGTCCTCGCCTCTCGCGCCTCTCCCGCGCGCGGCCCCGCGCCGGACGGGCCGCCCCTCCCATCTCTGGCTCTTCCTCGGCGGCCGCTGTGTTTCCGGGAAGGTGCTGGAGCCCCCCCCCCCCCCCCCCCCCCCCCCCCCCCGCCCTGCCCCGGCCCGCCCTGCCCACACCGCCCAGGCCGCGCCCCTGCGGGGACCGCCGCGTTCCTGCGCCGCCCCGGAAAACGCCCTCCCGTTGCCGCCGTTCGCGGGCCGCTCTGGCTCTGGCGGCTGCCGGAGGCCCGTCGTCAGCCCGTCGTGGCGGCCGTCCAGTTAGCCTGACGGTTCTCCTTTGCCCGGTTCGTTATTGCGCAGTTCGTCAGTCGTTTCCACGTCTCGCACCTGGGCAGTCGCGGCGTCCTCCGTGCGCCGCCTGCGCGCCCCCGGCCGTGCCCTCCCCCCGCGCCCCTCCCCTCCCTGCCCCCGCCTGCAGTCTGGCGTCCAGGGGCCGCCCCGGCGCGTCTTTAAGAACTGGCTTTGTGGGCCTCCCCGGTGGCGCAGCGGTTGAGCGCTGGGTTGCGAAGCTGCCCGCGGCCTCTGCGGCGCCGGTTCGATCCCCGGCTGCTCCCCGGCCACCGGAGGAGGGTCCCACATGGCGCGCAGACCTCTCCTGCCGCCCGCTGCTCCCCTCAGCAGTGTACTTCGGTCCTTCTGCCTGCTCTGCCCCCCGCTCTGGCTCTGGTGAATTCTCTCACCCTCCCGCGCTTCTGACTGTACCCAGTGCATGTATAAACAAAACAAACAAATATAATAAATAAATAAATAAAAACATGCCTCTATTAAAAAAAAAAAAAAAAAAAAAAAAAAGAACTGGCTTTGTGTTTTGCCAGCGAATGTTTTTTGGTGATTTCTATTCCCACTGCCGCTGTCTTTCGCCTTCTGACTGACTTAGCGCCAGCACCTCAGGGTCCGTCCGTTAGTGCCAGAGGTCGCTGCTCCGCCTCGTGACTGGCTGACAGCGCTGCGCGGGCATAGACCCGCGGTGTCCCTCGCCAGCCCCCGCCGGGCGCTAGTTGGCTCCATGCCTCGGCCTCCGCGGGCGGTGCGGCTGTGAGCCCAGGCGCGCGTGGGCCTTCGTGTTGGTGCTCTCACGTTCTTGAGGTACACACCTCGCACAGGTGCTGCTGGATCGTGAGGAATTTCTTTCTCTACCCGCCGGCTCCCCAGATACCTCCGTAGAGACCGCGCCAGATTGTGTGTTCCCGCCAACAGCGGAAGACGCCTCCTTTTTCTCCACGCCCTTGCCAAGGCTCGTTGTTCCCGGCCTGTGTACTGTGGGTCATTCTCACAGGGGTGAGGGGGTGTCTCCTGGTGGTTTTGATTTGCATTTCTCTTGTAATAAGCGATGTCAAACGATTTCTTCTGTGCCTTTTGGCCATCTGAATGTCGTCTTTAGAGAAAAGTGTCTTTAGGTCTTTGCACATTTTTTTATTGGCTTGTACTTGCTGGGTTGCATAAGGACGTCATGTATTTTGGAAATGAACCCCTTATCAGATGTGTGCTGTGACCCGGTTTGCTTTCGGGGCAGCCTCTGCAAAGAATTCTAGAAGTTTAAGTTCATGACATTATTTTTCCTGTGGAACTTGGCTAGACTCTCGGGGTTTTTTACGTAGCCACGCCCTCACCAGGGCAGCTATCAGTCAAGGTGTGCGTGGTGTTTGCCGCCAGCATCATCCCCCTGCCAGGTGCTTTCTGAGCTTCCTCCGGCAGGTGGGAAGCGGCATGAGTGTTGGCTGTCTTGCCTTTAGCCCAGGAACAGCGTGTGGGAGTGTCTAGACGGCTGCTCGGGGCGCTCTGGTGTTGGCAGCGGCAAATAATGATCCTCATAGTAAACATAGCTGTGGTACCCCAAAAATGACCCCTCTACCCTACCCCCAAAGGTCCCCAGAACCCATGAATATGTTATTTTACGTGGCCAAAGAGACTTAATTAAGTTAATTCTTAAGAATCTTGAGGTGTGAGGTGGCCTGGACAGTCCAGTGGGCACAGTGTAGTCACATGGAGGCAGGAGACTGAGGGACAAGTGAGGCTGCAGAAGCAGAAGGCAGAGTGATGCAGCCATAGACCGAGGAATAGGGGCCACCGCTCGATGCTGGAAAGGCCAGGGAGGGCCTCTCCCCTAGAGTCTCCAGGAGTCAGCCCTGCCGACCCGCTCGTACCTCTGTATAAGGAAACCAGGGGAGACCCCTCTAGTCCCGACTCTGGAGACAGGTCAGCCCACATCAGAGAGCCAGGAAAGGGACCGGGGGAGGGGGGGACCCACTCTGCGGGAAGACGCACTTTAAGGTCGTCCTTGCCTAGAAGCAGAGGCCCCAGAGGTTTGCATCAAGACCTGGCGTGGTGCCAGAGCGACACTGTGCCGTGCCGCGTCGTCAGCGTAGTGGGCCGCTGCTCCAGGCTCCTGGGCCCCCGCTGAGAGCCGGTGGGGCTCGAGCATCAGCAGCTCTGGAGTGAGGTGTGGCAAAGAGACAGGGAGAGACCCGCTATAAACACTCGGAGCCGTGGTCCTCATCTCTTGGGGATGACCGGAACAGCTAATTGGTTCAGCGAGCCTTGATTTTGACCCACTGTGGTGACCTGTGAGGTCTTAGGCGGCCAGGATTATCATGCTGACCCTCGGGAGTCAGGGAGCCGTGGACCGTGGGGTCTGCTTTTAGTCTTTGAGGACACTGTCAGAGACCAGACCAGACGTCCAGAAAAAGAGCAGCAGGGATTTGCGGGGGGAGACACTTTTAACCAGTTAATTCACTGTGAAAAAATTGAGAATCAATTTTGTTTCCTCTTTGGCCAACTGAGAATAGAATTTATTGCAGTGTATTAAAATTCCATTATGGCAAGGCAGTTAGGATGACCTTTTGCTGTTTTTAATAACGTCATTAGACCTGCGGGAAGGTAAATGGGATGAGAGAAAAGTTGCATTATAAAACCAAGAAATTTCCAGGTCGGGCCACCCTGCTCCCATTTAAAGGTAGCGCACAGGGACTCCAGAGAGGCCAGGTGGGTGCACGCGCCTGAGAGCCCACATCCCCGCGTGAGGAGTGTCGCGGTAGCTCCTGGGCACACTGAATATGGAAATGCACTATAACAGACCTGGTTTTACAAGAGATTTAAAATCCCAAACAGCCGTGCTGCTCCCTGTCTGCCTGTGCACTGCCCCTGAGCTCCAGACCCGGCTCGCTTAGGACTGACGTTGCACGCCCTAGGGCTGTGGGGGCGCCGGATGCCCTGGTTCTTTCTGTTGGCAGGGAAGGGGAGAGGAGGTCATTTCCCTCCCGCCATTCTCGAGGCTCTGCCCATTCGGCAGATGTGCACACTGAGCCTCCACAAGACAAGGGGAGGTGGTCGCTCCCGAAGGACACCCCATCCCAGCGAGGATGAGGCCCAGGCCTGTCTCGTCGGTGCGCTCTGTCTCGTGGGCAGCAAGTTGTGAGCGCCTGTTGCATCTCGTGGCCTTTCTTCGGGGAGATGGATACACAGACTGTAGCATATCTCGTCCCAACTTTGGGCCCTGGGGGTCTCCTGTGTTTATTGCAACCTGATAGTTAAGAGAAAATCACTCATCTTTACCCAATTTTTGTTCCTTTTTCAGATTGACTCATGGTGCAAAGACAATAGCTACGTGATTGCTGGCTATTATCAAGCTAATGAACGAGTCAAGGATGCCAGGTATGGCCAGCCACATGATAGGCTGACTTTCCAGCTGTCTTGCAGTGGGCAGAGTCCCTTTGCTGGCAGGCAGAGGGAGCCGGTGAGCTGCGGAGGCAACCAGAGCTCTGCGGGTGGCACCTGCCCCTGTCGTGGTGGCCTGCTGCACCGGGGCCTGAGAGCCTTTCTGTTCAGGGACGCCCCGGGTAGAACAAGGCGAGGGCCCGTTCAGTGCCGCCCACCTGGCATGATGCTCCCCACTGCCGTCCCTCTCTGCGGCATAAGTCCTGGAGGAAGGACACAGTCGCCAAGGGCTGGGGCAGGCATGCTCAGTCTGCTGTCATTGCTCGCTAACTCTGGGCGGCGCCAGCTGTGCCTGAGGTAAATGATCTTGAATGGCCTTTGATGAACCTCTGGTCCTTCTTCTGCAGCCCAAACCAGGTTGCAGAAAAGGTGGCTTCCAGGATCGCCGAGGGCTTCAGTGACACGGCGCTTATCATGGTAAGTGCCCCGGGACAAGCTCTCCTAGTCCTCTTGCTCCCTGGAACTCTGCTGTGCTCGTGGCATCTTTCTGCGGCGCCCTCAGGCCCTCGCCGCCTGTTGCATGCCTCTCCCCGTGGGACATGATGCTGTGGTGTTGGGCCATGGGGCGAGGCATGCAGCAGCCACACAGGTGGTCGGGGAGGACATTGGAGTTCAGGTTCTCTGAGGTATGCCCAAGAGTGAGAGCACCGAGCTGGAGCAGCAGGCATAGCCTGTGGGAGGGATGGCAGAGGGGTGGCACTGCCGGTCTCAGTGCAGATACAGCTCTGATGGGGATGCAAGCACCCCTCTTCTGCAGAAAACAGTGAAGCACCGAGGGTTTCTCCTGCAGAGCAGCCTGCTTGCCTCAGGCTGCACCCAGGCGTGGCCCACAATAGGGCAGCCCTCTGCTAGGGCCCGAGGAGGTGCCTGAGGACTCCAGAAAGGTGCCAGCCATGGTGTCGGGACGCACCGTCATGCGCGCCCTTTGTCTCGTGCACAGGTAGACAACACCAAGTTCACGATGGACTGCGTAGTGCCCACCATCCATGTGTACGAGCACCATGAAAACAAGTGGCGGTGCAGAGACCCACACTAGTGAGTGCTGTGTGCTCGGGCATGTGCGCTGGGCGGCCGGCCCCTGCCCCACAGAGGGCCACCCTCACCTGTGCTTTCAGGCTTGCATGCGTGCCGGGGGACCTTTGAAACCGTGCGTGTCCCTTGCCTCCCAGAGGACTCCCTGAAGACTGAGGCCCGGGGGTCTCCCACTTTTGACCCCAAGGCCCCTTTCCCACGCTGAACCCCCTTTCCAGGTGTTTGGTTTATTTGCAAACACGCCAAAGCCATCAGGCCCCGCCTCCAGCCTTTCCGGTCTCCTCAGAGTATGCCCTTTTCACCGCGCCTGACGGTCTCTGGCCAGCACCGTGTGCTGGTGTCCCTGGCCTGCCTTCATACCACGCTGCACGCACCGGGCTCTGGGCTCTGTGCACACTTAACGTGCGGTTGTTAAGGCTGATCTCTCCTGTTTTGCTCTAGTGATTACTGTGAAGACTGGCCAGAGGCCCAGAGGATCTCAGCGTCTCTCCTGGACAGCCGGTCCTACGAGACCCTCGTGGACTTCGATAACCACCTGGATGACATTCGCAATGACTGGACAAACCCAGAGATCAATAAGGCGGTTCTGCACCTGTGTTAGGGCGGGTGGCGTGCTGGCCTCCGGGCATTCCACTGCGATGAAGAAGAAAAGCTATTTTTAAGTGTAAATTAAATCTCTCATAGCCTGTGTGGAGAGCTGCCAGTTTTCAGAAGTGGTGTGTGCCTTGACAGAGGGCCGCGTGTCCCGTCGCTGGCCCTTCTGCATCTCCAGGAGAGGCCCGGCCGGCTCTGTGGAGCCCCTCCCAGTTGTACGTGGCTGTGATCCTGCAAATGAACGCGGTTGCTGCTTGTCCGAGATTGTTCCTATTAAACAGTTTTAACTAACCTTTTATAATCTGGAGAGAATACTTTTTAAGGCTTATAAACTATCCTTTTCAAAAAGCAAAACCACCTCTGAGCCCGAACGCGAGTGTGGTGAGCCTTCCTCCCACTCGAGCTCGTGTGGCGCGCCCAGGACGGGGCAGGGCCCTGTCTGAAGGCCGCTGCCGGCGCGGCAGGAGCTGAGGCTCGGAAGAGCAGCTGGCTCGCGGGGGAGCGCTGCGCTGTGCCGGGAAACCGCCGTCGCTGGGGCAGAAACAGCCTCGCAGGCGATGGCAGCCTGAGCCCAGACGCTGGTGACCCGCTGGAGAGGGGCTGCGCTTGGGTCAAGCTCCTGAGTGACTGGTGTCATTTTCCAAACAGTTCTCATCCGTCTTCGTAATAATTGTTCCTTTTGTATTTGAAGCAACAAAAGCAAAGCAAAACTTAGACTCCCGGGGCTGTACGGAGAACCGTCTGTAACGCTCATACTGGGAACACTGGTCAAACTTCTCAGCCCCATCAGAGAGTTGCCCGGGAAACGTGAGGGTCCCACTCCCTTCCTTTCTTTTCTGCGTGAATTATTCTGTCCCGAGTTCAGAGAATAGTAACTTTCCTGCTGTATTTTCTCTGAAAAGATAGGAAAAAGCATCAGACATTGCTTATGATACCTATGCTTGCTTTGAATTCCTAAATTCTCTCTCTTGTGCGAACGCTCCTAATTTTAAGTTGACGTCCCTTCACGCAGGAAACACACATGAAAGGCTGGGGGCTCCCGGTCACAGGAGCCGGGTGCGCGCTGAGGGACACTGGGGCAGTCCGGGTCCAGTTTGGTGTGTCTGCCTCAACAGACGCTGGAGGAGGCAGCCCAGCGTCTGCCACAGCAGAAGCTGTCTCCTGGGTCCACAGCGAGCCAGCGCCACTTCGGGGTCAAGGTCTGGGGGACTGAAGGAGCTGCTTGGGGTGGAGCTACGACTGAGCCCCATTGGGGAGGCCCATAAAGACCAGGGGTGTTGCTCGCACTCACTTATGCGGATTCTTCACTCGAGCCTCCCGCCAACTTCACGCCCCGCCCTGCATCTGGGCCTCGGGCCTGGAACCGGCCCCAGCCCCCGTGCTCAGAGCCAGCCCGGCTCGCCTCAGGCGCACGTGACCGGGAAGGAAAGACCGTATGTGAAAGACCAGAGCAGACTTCTGCGGCGTGGGCACCTCTCCTAAGAATAGCCAAAGCCTCCATTGGGCCCCCAGCCCCTGCACTGCCCTGGCCGCTGGTCTCTGTGGCCTCTAAGTCACCTCATTGCTCCCTGCTGGGGTCCCAGTGAGAGCCACTTAAATAGCCAACCCCCTGGCTGTGTTCATACTCCGCCTTTTTAGAAAAAAGTCTTGGGAGAAAAGGTCGACCGGAGCAACATGATTTACTTGTGCGTGGAAAATCCTTTGCCCGGTAAGGTTCTTAACTAGCTCTTCAGTCTGAAGGGGTGGGGGCGGGTGCTCCCCGTTGAGAGCTGGCCGCGCTGCAGAGCGCCCTGGGGGACAAGTATCCTCCTGAACATCATCCATCAGGAGGTGAGTAGCACAAGGGATTACTCTGTCGTTTTCCATGTCTACTCACGATAAGAACTGAGGATACTAAACACAGAGAGCTAACTTCATGCATAATCAAGGCCATGTACGTGCGCGCTAAGGGAAACTATTCCGCTCATTCGAATGACAGGTGAGCACCGAAACCTTGGCTCATTTAGCCGTCCAAGTCAGTTTCTCAGGGACCTGGTATATTTAAACTTCCTCAGTGTATAAAGTCCTTGATTTAGTAGCTGCTTTTTTTTGCTAGTGTTTAGAAAACCGATCGTGCCTGTGTCTGGTAATTCTGCTTTTCTAACATACCTTTACAATTTATGTCCCAAAAAATTCCCGCTTCAAAACTGCCCTTTTTAGCTTTTTCTCTACCTTCAGAGAGTAGCTAGTGTCTGCCAGCAGGTAGGGGGAAGCAAGAAAAATAGCCCTGGGCATTAAGCTCCATCCCTGTGGACATTTTTAGCCATTTTAATGAAGAGAGCTGGATTTAAAAATAGACTTCCGCTTTGCTGATTGACTTTCTTGGGGCTTTCCATCATCCCCGGTCCTGCCCAGCGCTGGATTTCTCCCCAGTGCGGCAGAAAGCCCGGCAGCCGGCGTGGGTCTGTGTCCCCCGGCCGCCCCTCAGGCGTGCCGTGTTCGTCTGACTTCGGAGTTCAGGGTAGCTTCAGCATTTCCCTCCTCAGCTCTGCCTGTTGTCCTTGAGCTCCCTGAGTGGCGCGCAGAACCCGACTGAGGGGGTGATGTCCTAAATCATTCTCCCAAGGAGCCTTTCCCCAGGGGTTGACATCCAGGGGTGGACCTCTCCTGAAGCCTGTTCTCCAGACTGAGCTCTAGTCCAGCCTCGGAGTGGCCAGGAACTGCCCTCCCGCGTCTCCTGTCCGTCGTGTGACGGGGGCCAGTGAAGCCTTCGCTTGAGCCAGGCTGGAGGAAGCCCTTGGCTGGAGCTGCTGCCTCGCGGGCAGAATGGCGTCTCCGGGAGGCACTCTGGAGACCACGGCGAATGCATCGACACTGGCGTGTCAGGACGCTGGCCCGCAGGCTGTGGCGTCCGGGCAGGGCACCGCCCTGCAGCGCACCAAGACCTGACACGCCCCAGGGGAGGACTTGGAGCCTAGAGTGGGCCACATCCCATGCCCTCCGGGTCACCACCTCAGGTAAAGGAGCGTGGGCCGGGCCTACTAGCACATTCTGGAAAGGATTCTTCTTCCCCGGGACTCGCCAGCCCCTCCCCCCTTCTTGAGTGCCCCCCAGCGGCACCCTGGCCAGTCCGGGGGTGCGGGGGGGTGTCAGCGGTGCTGCTGGGGTCTACTCACTGCCACCTTCCAGCTCTGGCCAGGGCACGGTCCCTCCCACGTCTTGTCTGGAAAGTGAGGGTGAGACGCTTGCCAGGAGGATGAAGTCCAGGGAACACCTGCACCGCACCTGAATGTGTTAGGGCTGCGCTGAAAGCCGTTCCAAACGGCTCGCCTTCCAGAGCACACTCTCGGCCAGGGGGCCCCGAGGGGAGGACCAGGAGGTAGACTGTGTAAAGCCTGTGAGGAAAAGGCTTCGCCCTGGAAAGGGCAGCAACCTCTGCTTCCACAACCCTCTTGTTTCCAGCTGCCTCCGTGCTGTCTCGGGGCAGAGCCGGGGGGGGGGGGGGGGGGGGGGGGGGGGGCAGGCCTCGCTCTCTGCATGCCCCGGGGGGCCCAGGCCCAGACAGTGACCCCCAAGCACTCATGAGCAGAGGAGCCTCTCCAGGGAGGCTGTCCCCAGCCGGGTGTGCTCTCCTCACTGCAGCGCCATCGGGAAAGCGGGGAGAGGCTGAACCCCTCTCCCGGGCTGTGCTCCCCTCCACGGAGAAGGCTAGGAGTGAGGTGCAGGCATCGCGCGAGGCCCTGTAGTCCTGACTGTTGACACAAAGTGGAGGTTGTGCCTGCTTGTGAGGTGCTCCCGCTGCACTGCAACTTCAGAGGCAACTACTGCTTCCTAGGAATTACAAGGAAAATTCTAGAATAAATGTGCAGATTCCTGGGCTCCAGCCTGCAGAATTCAGGTTTATTGAGATTCCAAACCCAAAAGTCTGCATTTTTAGCAAGTGGATTCCGGTCACTTTTTCAATAACCCCGAGCTTTGACTCAGACCTTGCAGGAAAACCTCCAAACCGTCCCCTGCACCCCTGCCCCAGGGGGAGGCGCTTAAGGTATCAGGCCTTCCCACCCCCGCCCACGAACACCCAAATTCCCAACCTCCAGGTTGTGATGGCAGGAATGTCTCCTGCTTTTAGCCCCTTCCTGAAGCGCCTCCAGCCCCGCCGTCACGCTCGGGCCACCAGGGTCCCCCGGCCACTCCCCAGGGGAACCTTTCAGAGAGGCCCCTCCACCACCGCGCCCTTCCTTCACCCATGGGAGCCTGTCTTCTGCCCGCGCTCCCCAGGCCACCCTCGCGTCAGAGACTGGGGCGCAAGAGGGGGATTCCTGGCACCTGGTGAGCTTCCGAGCGCACAGGGGCAACGGGGAGGCCTGAGCTTGAAGATGATTGAAGATGATTTCCCTTCTCTGCCAAGCCCGGGCATTTAGCCCAAACGGGCAGAGCCGACAGACTTGGAGAGGAGAGGACAGGGCAGCCCAAATGGCCACCCCGAGGATCTGACCGTGCCCAGCCCGAGACTGGAGCCCACCGCTGGCCTCCCCTAGCGCTTGGAGGCTCCAGGCGCCGCAGGGCTGGGAGGGAAGGTCCGGTCCTCGCACCCCCACCCCTGCCCGCTCCCGTCCGGCTCCTGCCTCTGCCAGGACACGGCCGCGTCCCGCCGTCTTCTCACACACGGGCCCTGGGACTCCTGCCGGGTCGCTGGTTTAACGTGCAGCCCGCGGGCGCCTGTGCTGAGAAGCAGCTTCTTCCCACCCCACAAACCAGCGTGTGGTAGGGGGACGTGCCGTGCAAGGAAAGGGCAGGCAGGGAAGGAAGCCCCTGGGCGGGCTCTCTCCGGGAGGCTGGGACCCGCCGAGTGCGCGAGCGGGCAAGTGCAGCATGCGTGGCCAGAGGCCTGAGAACAGGACACCTGCAGTGTGCCCGGGTGCCCTGTGGCCCCATCCTTGTGTTCTCAGACTGCGCAGACTGGGCCCTTGCGGGAGAACCTCCAAAGCCTCCCCTCCACTCCTGCCCCAGGGGGAGGCAGGCAGGGGTCCTGGGAGGCGCCCCCTGTGGAGGAGAGACCGGCCCTCCAGCGGCCTCCCCTGCACAGGCCTGCGGGAAAGCCTGTGATGACCAGGGCAGCGCCCTGGAGCAGCGCGGGCCCCACTGGAGTCTAGTGAGCACTCCGGGCCTCTCCTCGCTGCCCGCGACACCCTACCCTGGCGGCACGGGCCCTTGAGTGTTCCTCCAGGGCACCAGGAGAGGGGGCGCCAGCCCTCCGTCGTCCGAGCCTCCTGGAGAGTGCCCGAGCCGGCTGGGCCCCTGGGCACAAGCTCAGGCCTGCGCACCACTCACACCAGG